AAGTTTCTGTTCTAAAATCAAATTAAATAACAGGCCTGCTCTAAAAGTACCCCATACAAAACCCCCACTAAAACATAATCAAACTACGCCAGGCCGGCCGCACGGAATAGATGGGCCTTCAGGGCTCGGCGAAAAAGGCGCAGGTCCGCAACTGTACGTAGGTCGGGGGGTAGGTCATTCCAGAGGGCAGGAGCTGCCAGAGAAGGCTCTCCCCCTGGGGGTCGCCAGCCGGCATTGTCTGGCCGACGGCACCCTAAGGAGGCCCTCTCTGTGGGAGCGGACTGGTCGAAGGGAGGTGTTTGTCAAAAGAGTCAAGTGTGTCATAAAAATTGCTATTAGATTAAATATAATACTTCTGAACTCTGGAGAGAAGATTATCAGTTTCACAGAACTTACATTCTCCTTCCCAAAGGTAATTTGCATTTTAATTAATATTATTGCTTCTTACCTGCTTGATTTTTTCACGATCTTGATCTGGAGTGCTTGAAGAGTTAATTCTGAGGCTTTTCTTAAACATGGCCATTCTTGTTTTGGCTTCACTACGCTGAATTTTGGGCAATCGAGCTTTTTCCTGAGTATGTTTGTTTTTCAGCTCTTCAATCAGTCGTTGGTTGTATCTCTGCATTTGCTCTGTTTCCTTAAAAAGAGATAAATGTCCATTATTAAAAGAAAAGCCTGCCAAATAATAAAGGCACCTCCCAGAACATGAAGTTAAAAAAAATATAAAACAAATTAAAATTACACTAACTTTTTCATGCCGCTTAAGCAGCTGGTGTCTCTGCATGAAGTACTGATCCTTCAGCTGCTGTTTCAGCAGCTGATGTTTTTCCTGTAAGTGTCGCTCTTCAAGTTCCCATATCGCAGCTTCCCTGGCTAGAATGGAAAAAAATGGCTTGTGAGTCTGCTGAGAAAAGGCACTCCACTTCTGCAACTTCTGTACTTCATACAGTGATTTAATGAAAGAAAATCCCAAGTAAAATTCTTATTGGTATTAATAATAATAATTTTTATTTGCGGTCACAGACCAAAATGCAAGTGCAACAAAAAAAACACAAGAAAAATATAATCACAAACAATTAAACACCAGAAGCCTCAGCTAAAGGGAATTACAACGTTCTCCTCTAATAGTTACAGCTCTTAAAAGAAATTTAGAAATCTGAGAAGTAATGTAGGGGGAGCCATCCCCTAAACAATATAAGACCAAATTACTAACATTGGAACCATCGGGATCAATTCCAAGGAGAGACAATAATTTAATTCTGCCTGGGTTAGACATAGGGCAGTATGATAAGACATGCTCCACAGTTTCAACTTCAGCCCTATCACAGGGGCATAGTCGCTCACTAAACAGGAGCCTATTGAATCGCCCGTCGAGTAGTGCTGAGGGCAAGACATTGAAACGGGCTAGGGGAAAGACTCTTCTATACTTGGGGATGGTTAGAGTACAGAAATATGAAGCCATCCTCAATCCATAATTATTAGAATGGCTGAAGATCAAAGGGGAGCAGGTTTTGTTAGCTCTGGCTCTTAAATATTGCAAATCTATGTCCACAAGCCGTTGGACTACCCTAAACTGGGCGTCCTTGAGACCATAATCTCCCAGGCCATCCCCCGTAAAACCTAGCAAGTGGAGTTTCTTCGTCAGCTCCCTCTCCCAACGAGAGGTATGAGAGTCAGCAAACACCAGGGAGAGGTAGCTACCAGGGACTTCCAAAAAGAGCACCCGAAACCACTATTTGAAGGTATTAATCCACGCCATGCATTCGACTGAACGAATGCCCAGTTCCAGGTACATCGAAGCAAATCCAACACAGGGAGGAAGACCCAGAAGTTTCCTAAGAAAAACATCCTGGGTTCTTTCAATACAATCCTTGAAGCCTCGTATCCATATGGGAATTCCATAAAGAATTTGGGCCAGGGTTTTGGCTTTATATATACGCAGAGCAGAAGGAATAAACTGGCCTCCTTGGGTAAAAAAGAATCTTATAATCTGCTGATGGCTGCAGGAGGCCGAATTCAGCACCTGGGTTCGATGTTTATTGGTATTAAGTTAAGAAGGAATTATTTCCTGACTTGAATTGACACAGTTATAGATTTGGCATATAAGAAAATGGCAAGCAAACTTGAAAGAGGACTTTGTATATCATTTTTTTCTGTTTTGGAATGAGAACTTTCATTTGAATGAACTTTATTTGAAGTTCCGTTACAGTCTTTCCTGGTTTCGCACTTGTATCAAACAGACAGAAATTTAGGATGTCACTCCGTAAATTTTCTTACTCATTTTCATGGGGTTTACTTTTGAGCAATATAGGATGGATGGAGTCCCCAATTCTACTCTGAATTTCATAAAGGCTCAATTCAACTATGAGAAAAAGGAACAAATACCTCTCATGAGCTGCTGCTTGTTGTTAAGACAATCTCGTTCAATGGTTGCCAGCTCTATTTTCTGCTGCTGAATTATTTTTTTTAATGATGCATCCAGTTCTTGTTGTTGTTTCTGCACAAATTCTTGCTCCTGTTAAAAATGAGTCCAAAGTCAGTAATTACGGTACACAAAGTTCATAGAAATATAGGTTTGCATCCCACAGTAGCTCCAAGTAACACTAAAGTCTCAAAAGCATTGTGTAAGGAGAGTTACACTAACTGAGAAACAATCCCCAGAGGGCCACCTAACAGTTTCATAAATAACATCTATGAACGAGGGCTTTTCAGATTCAGACTCACCATTTTATCTAAAGGTCAATTAATATTTTATAGAAGGTGTGTTGAACCTTTCAGATTTTGCATCTTGCAGCCTGAGAAGCATGGTAAAGGGTGATGGTACAAGCTGCACTTCAATGTTTCAACTAATTAAGAAGACTTCCTGCACATATTAAAGCTGCAACATTCAACCCAATGGCTGGCTGGTCGGCTGGCTGGCTGGCCACATGCACACACATACACACATGAGTTGTAATGAGTTGTAAAATTTAACTGATCCCATAATTCTTCCTCTCCAAATAAGTAATTTATCTGAAATCCATCTGATGCATTTGTGGGTTTTACAAGCGAATTGCTTCATCCTGTCATATAGCTACATCTAGAGCTAAAGAAAAACACAAACTGAAAACACGGCAATGAACTAATCAAGACCTTCAGTTTTCGCATATAACATTATTAAAATGCTACGCAAATGTTTATAGCTCTCAATTAACCAATTAAACTAGTTTTTAATTGCTGTGGTGGGTGGGAGAAAATATGACCAATAAAAATCGGGGTGAACTAAAAATGAGTCCTGCTCCACAACAAGTTTATTGAGATCAGTTCAGCCCTTTGCCCTGAAAGTCTTCAGATGGTTATTTTTGTGGGTCACTGCAGAAGAAGCTAAGAAAGTAGCAATTTTGTGATTCTTAGGGAATGGAATTGTTCAAGTGCCTATATAAGAAGTTTATAGGACTTACAATCTTTTCTATGAATGGTGTGTTGAACCATTCAGTTTCCATTAATAATATTAGCAAGTAGTTAATCCCTAGGAATATAGTGTTGTGACATTGTAATTCACAGTATTAGTCAGTATTAAGAGCTAGCATTATTTAAGAAGTTTTCAGAAAGAGTAAGAAATGTACCTTAAAACAAAAGTAGAGATTTATGTCTTTGGGGGGAAAGGATATGTTTATACTATAAATAAGTCAATATTTTAAAATCAAAAAGGAACCTTGGGTAACATTTAGTATAATATTTAGGCACAAATATTCAACTAAAGTGTCTTTTCAGTCTAAGTAGATATCAATATTTGTTGCATGATAATTAATTGAACAATGTTGCTATCTAATTATAACAAACTTATGACAGATCGTATTTTGGAAGAATAATTAATTGCTTTGTTTCAATTCATATGCAAACAAACTTAAAAAATCTCCAGGCTTTTAACCTATTTAAAACATCTATATAGTGGCTTACAAACATATATAATATGTGAGATAATGTATAGCTTATTAGATCTCCAAATATACCTACAACACATAACTGTTCTTGATTCAGAGGTGTATCTAAACTCAATATTTTAAGTTGAAAAAACTGTGAAATAGTATAACATTTAAAGATGATTCAGAGATTACAACCAGTAATCTAAGTCTAGAAACAACAAAGATAATCCAAGTCAAAATATAAACCTGAAGTTACTAATAGACCAACAGAACGCAAACAAATTAAAATGTCCAGCATTTGCATATCAATACCTCATTTACATTGCAAATATTCAAAAATTTAATCACAATATTTTTAATGTAAGGTATGAAATATGCTGTGGAAACTTAGAAACTTCCTTTCTCCTGAAGGTATTGCTATAGTTTCTGTCAGCCATATTGGAAGAAGACTTTCTTTCCTCTCAGAGCTGTAACTTAGGAATCTCAACCTATGGGGGTCTCCTAGGTCACAAACCAAGTTATAGAACACATCAGTTAAAGAAATGTTAGAGTGAGTTTGCAGAGCTTCCATTGCATCATTGCTTAGTGCTAGTGGCACCTAAAAGAAGACTGGATTGCAATTCTGGGTGATGCTCATTGTTGTCATGGAAAAAGGCTATCACTGAACAGGCTTTTAAATTATACCTGCACATTCTGGTTAGCCTTCTTCTATAACCAGCCAGACCAATATTTCAACAATTAACAAAATAATTTGTGAAATTTTGGCTTCATTTTTTATACAAGATTAAGAAAATATTAAAAAATTAATTTAACATTTTTTAAAAAAATCATTTTTCTTATCCTCAAAAATATGTGTGAAAATATATAGGGGATTGTCCCAGACAAACATCATAATTTCGCAGACTGTTGCAGAGAAATTATGCCATTCTTGTGAAAGTCATTCCACCCATGACTAGAAATGGTTAAGAAGCAGATGTTATAATAGAACGGGTTTCCATCCATACTTCATATGAAATTATTACCCTTGCTTTTCATGTAGCTTCTTATCTAAAAACATTCCTACGTATTAAAGGCACCTATAATGCTTCTGGATCAAAAAACACATTGGGCAACACAGTGCCATGGAATAATGGAAAGCAAAGAGATGTAGAACCTGAATGCAAACCAGAAATTGAAATTACTTAACACAAAAAGGCTACTTCTTTTACCTTACAGTTCTCTTGTTTAACTTCTACATGACAGTTTAAAAGCATTTAAGGAAAACATTTGAAGCATGATCATTATCTACTAGATAGTTCTGTGAATGAAAATCAGCAGGTATATGGTGAAAAAAGATCTTTATTCACCTGCTTTGTTATTTACAGAAGATCAATGATGACGGTATAAATGCAACTCTCTAATACTAATAGAGAGATTATAACTAGGTATGCAATGTTTTTAAAGCAAAGTAATAAAAAGGCCATATCAAAAGTTTGCATTGCAAAGTAAAACATACTGATAAGATGCGACCCTTTCTTAAAGTTCTAACTACTATCTGATAGGGAGGGGGGAAAAGCTACCAAAAATGAAGGTGCTTAAAAGTTTGTCACCACTTAAGGTGGAAAAAAAGGGTATTCTTTATCCTATAATCAAAACGTAGGAGAACTGTTATTAGGTAAAGAAGGAAAATGCACTTGTATCTACAAGCACTCTGAAGAACAGCCAAGCTTCACAGCACTCAGAGGAAACAATAATAGCTCAGTTTTACACATGTGCTGAAAATTCGTCTAATTTGTTCTGTTAATTTCTTTGTGCACATTAATAAAGTTTTGTATAGTACTTTAAAATAAAAATAATTTAACAGCACATGCATGTAAGAGGAAAAAAAGAAAGCTAACACGACAGGGGTCATATATTTTTTATGGGAGTGGTATATGGACTTACATCCTGCATTACTGCATTGAAGAGAGCAGATGAGGACAACTGAAATGACTGAATCATAACCTGAGCAATGGCCTGTGGAGCAGAATACAATGTACTTCCCGTGTGAAAATAACCACAAACAAAGCATTTCAACACTAAACAGAAGAACTTATAACTTTAGCAAGCACCTCTTTACCAGGCACTATTGTAACAATAATTCATCTTTATATTTATAGTCTCAAAGGAGCATTTATGCATGCAGGTACCAATCACAAACTAAATGAGAAAAAAAGAATAATAATCACCATTTATTTTTCTATACCTAATACTCTAGAACCTATTCTTATCCACACCTTGTAACTTCACTTGCTGTGTTAAAAGGTATTCTCTTTTTTCCCAATAATTTAAGGACTGCAATTATAAGATAATCTCACAAAAAGGACAACTTACCAAATACACCCTCTATGGAGGTAATTATTAATAAAGTTTGGAAAAAGGTCTGATACACTGCTATGAAAAATAATTGCCTGTAAAAAGCAGGATTCTGCTCGATGGATGGGTTCAGCAATTCAGCTAATGTCTAAGACAGACTTCAGCAATGTCTATCTTGCTCTAAATACTTTACTGTTTCTTATGATTATCATCCCCTCATCTCCTGTTGTTTAGAAGAGTGAAGACCTTGCTCTTCACCAGGTCTTCACACTCTTTTCAAGCTTTTAGAGAAGAAGGAGATCCCTCACTTCATTGCATTTGTATCTTTTATCGTTCTTTTAAATCATGTATTGATTTTATTGACATTTCTGATTTTTTATGAGTCACCTAGAATGATTGAGAATTGGGTCAAATACAAATAAATTATTATTTAATATTATGATGCTACTGGGAAGTTAAATTCTCTCTCCACTATTCACTAAGTAGTATATATAATAAAATATAAACTTAAACATCATATTGGTCTATATAATGAATTATAGAGAAAATCCACTTGAGAGGTCCAGATGTTGCAAGGATTAAAAAAACATCAGGTGACCTATCCAACTAGGTAACGCGTGTAGGCCAGGGGTCTGCAATCTTGGCAACTTTAAGACTTGTGGACTTCAGCTCCCAGAATTCTGGGAGCTGAAGTCCACAAGTCTTAAAAGTTGTCAAGGTTGCAGACCCCTAGTGTAGCCAACAGAAGCCATGCTAGAATCTAGTAGATGTGGACCTCACACTAGGATCTATGAAAGTAGTTGCAGTGGAGATTGTGTTTTATGTCGTAGACTTGCAATTATTCAGATTTCTTCTATCCATCCATGAATTTGTTCTGAGGTATTTGCTTTTGTAAGAGTTTGGGTTTCCAGCAACAGACTGGAACCTTAGTCTTCAGAAAGAACTGTTCATTTCTTTCCTGTTTTATTTTAAACATTCTCAACCTTGCTGGATATAATCATAATTTCATGGGCTAGCAGTGCTCAATCTGCAAAAGGATCTAGTCTTTGGAACACGCTTCCCTGAGAGATCAAATGACTGAAGAGATTGTCCTTTACCCGCTTACTGATAAATCAACAGCAGAGGGGTTTGGTAACATAATAAAATCAGCTGCCTCCCGGAGTTTTGAGATAGATGCACCAGAATTATGGAAAGAGGATTCAGGAGTTCTCCCACTGAAACCAGTGCAGCCCATTGTCCTATATATGCATGCCCATTACAATCTAATTGAATGTTATTGTATCAGAAGTATTCTTCAAAATGAAAAGTTAATGTTGATATTACTTATTACTAACTACTACTTAACATCAAAAGTTGGACTATAGATATAGCAATCACAACACAAATTTTGTTTCAAACAGCAAAAATATCGAAATATACCCTCTACAGTAGTATCTTTGGAAGAAAGCTTTGATTATCATGTTCATAAATATGCACCTAATTAACACTAAGGTCACTGTCTGGAATTATAGATTTCAGTGATTAATTTTTTTAAAAAAGGTAAGCAAAATCATAATAACCTTTCCATTATTTTCGATTCTAAAAGCTTCAGTTAAAGTAGATGTAAAGTATATATGACAGACATTTTAATATACAATATACACTGAACTTTAATTACTTTGAATGCTGTTGTCTATGGAGATTCTCAGTCATCCAGGTCATGGTTGTCCCAAAGGTGTTTTTTCATGAGGCAACTGGACTTTCTTGTTTTTCTTTGAAGACACTTCACTTCTCATCCAAGAAGCTTCTTCAGCTATGATTGAAGAAGCTTCTTGGATGAGAAGTGAGACATCTTCAAAGGAAACAAGAAAGTCCAGTTGCTTCTTCAAAAAGCACCCCTGGATACTGTTCTATAAATAACTAAATATTTCTTAAATAGCAACATTTTTACACTGATATTTTAACATTAACATTTAATACACTTCTAGTTTCAGTTCTGGGAAAGAAATCACTACCAATGAATAGGTTCCTTCAGAGGGAAAAATGCCCAATCTCTATCAAACTATTAAAGCAACGCGAACAAAGCTGGTTTGGGGGGGGGGATTTAGAAGCAGGAAGCTGCCATGGTTACCTGAGCATGCTGGGTTTGAGTAAGCTCCTCTTTCTTGCGTTTCATGAGCTCTTTTCTCAGCTCTTTTGGTGCTTTCTCCACTTCATTAAAAACCTACAGTGCATAAGCATGCAGAATGTGGGGAAAATAACCCTTTTTCTCCACAGCAAGCATTTACGGTGAATGAAGAGGAGCAATAAGCATTCAGAAGATGTTACAAAAGCATGCAAAGCTGGAAGTGTTAGCTTGTGAGAAAATGGAGGGAGGAGTATACATGCATGAAGTATTTATTGATTGTATTCCAGAAAAAGGTGCACATGCCAATAGCAGCCTAACAACGAATCTCTGTTTGCATTCGAGTACTAATAAACTGCTTCCATAATCAATTTTTATGCAGTAGAGACAGTAATTAAAATAGAAAGCTTCTTGAAATGACAACAGAAAGGATTTTGTTTTTCCAAATAATAAAACACAAACAACACAAGAACAGCTACCTCTGCACTTGTCATATAAAAGTACAGATAATAGTTGTTAAAAGAACAACTTGCGTGAAAAGCCATAATCATCTCAAAAGTGATATTCACATATCATTGGAAAAGTAAATCAAATATTCAATTTTATACTGGAGATAAAAGAGCCATATAGACCATCAAGTCCAACCCCTTATTCAGCATAGAAATCAAATTAAAATACTATGGACTATCTAGCTATTCAAGATTACATTACTATTTTTAAAAGTTAAAGCATCCATAGGAAATAAAGCCCAAATCACCACATGCTGTTCCTGTTTTCATGAGTGTAATAAAACTTTAACCAGCTTTCCCCTTTGAGATCCAATCACCATTAGAAACTCGAAGTGCAAGAAATTTAGCAAAAGAAAGACGTTAATATTATACAATTTAAAAAAAGACAATTGGATGTAATAGTACAGTAATAATATCAAACAGTTAGCATAAGAACAATGGCACTGAACAAATTATAAACAAAATATATCAAAACAGAGGATCAAGAAATTTCTGCTGTGATTATTTTATTTACTGCAGGTAATAATATAATAGCTTGGTAATCATCAGGCTGGGGGGATTTTGGAGGAAAGAAGTGTTTTGTCAAAAAGAGTAATAAAGTGAAATATTAATGAGTCAGACAATCAACAAAAACTCAGAATATAAGATCTGAGATACAATTCCTTCATTTTTCATAATTTTGGCCTTACTTTAAGTAAGGAACAATATATTAAAATACTGAGTTTTAAGCTGATTGAGTCTGAGAAATAATTTCTTACCATTTAAACTGGATTAGTTCCAAATAAAACCAAAATGGAAAATTTAACCACTACTTCAATTTTTAAAATTATCTTAATAACATACTGCATAACAATCCCTTTTTTACTTTATGCAGAGATACCAATTCTGCAGTTTTTCTACCACAATTATATTTAAATGTGAAACTGTTTTATATTGCATGTAGGGTAATCTGAGAGCAAAAAACAGCGTTCTACAGCACTTTATCTCTGATTCTTCTGATATAAAGATCACCCTTCTGCTTACACATGCACAAAATTTTAAAAATTCTATTGTGACGTATTTCATGAAAGTCTCCATGACTTTTACCTGTGATTATGTTACAAAGCAGCCAATTTAAAAAATCTTAATAATTAGCCAGTATTCATAAAAGCACATGTGCAAAATCTTTCTACAAACAGTTCTAGCAATTATTCTGATGAATAACATACACAAAAACTCTATCAAAGGTCTTGACTAAATAATATTTTTTACTATTTCAAATACATAGTGAAAGCTCATCATAATTTATTACTGAAATTAAGGTGCTGGAGACTCTAAGTGTGCATGTGAGTGTGTATGCACAATTATAATATATGGAATGAAAATGTAAACACCAATAAGACCAAAAACATTCATCGTATTTACTAAACCTTTTAAAAGGTTTACCTCTTTCTTTTTGTTTTTCAACATATTTTGAAACTTGGATAATTCTTTTTCTTGTTCTGCTTTGATGCGCTTAGCTTCATCACGTAAACGATTTGTATGCTCCTGTTCTAAGCGCTCTATTGTCTGTTTTTGCTGTTTTTCTAGGTTTTCAATTTCCTGGTCATATTGCCGCTTCTTGCTCTAAAAAAAAAAACCATTATTTTCCCTGATTATCTGAGTGAAAAAAATTGAGATGTGAAAGTGAGGAATCTGCATACATAATGAGGAGCTATATGTAGAAGAGGCAGAACCGGAGGGTGGACTCAGGAGAAGGCCCAGCCTAGAATTTTTATTTGTCACAAATGCTCCAAGTTTAGCACCCTCCCCAAAATTCTATTGACTCTCATATCAGGCACAAAGATAAAAATGGGGATGGTACATGGAATGAGAATGCATAGCTTCTTTCCTATATGCAACTATTTTAGATATTTTAAAAAGTCAAGACAGAAAGAACAAATACCGATATACTCTTCTGAGCAGTATTAAGATAAAACAGAAGAATCTCATGAAAAATAGTAATCTGATAACTGCTTGAATCCTTTATTAAAGTTTGTAAAATGTTTATTAAACAATATTGTAAGTGGAAGAGGAGAAAACACCATCTATTAATAAGGCAATTTTTCTCTGCCTTAACTCATTTGTATAATTAAATAAGTTCATTTACTTAAATTCAAGAACATAGTTAATTTAATCAAAATTGTTTCTAGATTTTGCTGAAATCTTTAGCATATTTTGAACTGAATCAGCACAAGTTAATCACTTACTCGGCAAGATAGGGAATATGAAATGCAAATACATACATTTCTTCACTAAGGTCAAGCAATTCTGAAATGGTTTTACACCCATCACCACCCTAAATTTTAAAATCATAAAGCTAAAATATTTACGACAACAGTGCTTGTTTGGTCACAAGTTGCATACTTTTTCTAATTTTTAAGGATAAAAATGCTATTGTTTAAACTCTTGCTACATTTACCCCAATTCTTAAACTGATATCAGTTTCTCTATTATCAACACTTTTCCTGTGGCATGTATCAGATTTATGAATGTAGCATCATGCACATTATTATGTTCCTACTTCTTCATAAAATTTAAGACTTTCTTCAGCAGTAACACTGTATGAACAGATAATATTGGATATAAGTTCTTTATGTTTAGAAGTACAAAGCCCTTGCTTATTTTCAAATTGACAATTTTCTTTATCACAACCTACATGCATCTTATTCCTTTCATTGTAACTATCTCCTTTTCCATTCCTTTTGTCCTTTTCCTCTACCAACTAGCTTTCCTGCCCTTTATAAGGAGGCATAGTTAATTTTTTACTTTAGAGGAATGTCATAATCTACTGTTTCATCACAGAGCACTAAACAGAAAATGTTGAGCTTGCCCGAAAATGTAAAAGCAGCAGGAAACTGGAATCTTACTGTCATTTCCTGTTCAAAGCGCCTAAACATCTGTTCTCGTTGTTGTAATAGCTTATTACTGAGTTGCTGCTGAGCTCGTTGTTCTTCTTTTTGAAGAAGGCGTAACTCCCGTAATTCTTGACGTCTGGCATTAAGGAAGAAGGAAGTAATTTTAGAGTCATTAGTAACCAAAGTGAAATTAGAATTCTGAAGTAATATGACTAATAACTGAGGAGTGGAATTGAACTACTGCATTTTATAAGATAATGAAAACTGTTCCTTATAGTCTAGTACAGTCTAATACAGTCCAATATATGTAGACTGTATATGTGCGTGTACATATTTCTGTTTGTGAGTTCATATGTAAATATGTATTAGAGATAAGGATTCTCTCATTTGAAATGAATATTTTAAAACTCACCGAAGATACCGAAGTTCTTCACTTTTAGAATCATTGTCACTGACTATTTTTGAAGTAGTCACACTCACTTCTACACCATCAATAATAAATTTCCGAGTTTTCTTTAAAGTCTTCTTATGTCTTTTGGTTTCCTAAATAAAAGATGACACATCATATAAAGACAGGAAATATCTAGTTGAAGAAATGAATTTTCTTAAAGGAAATATATTTAAACAGATTTTACTTAATCTTGGTTATAAAAAGAATAGCTTGAAACCATATCTTTTAAAAATATGGTTTCAAGCTATTCTTTTTATAACCAAGATTAAGTAAAATCTGTTTTAATATATTTCCTTTAAGAAAATTCATTTCTTCAACTAGATATTTCCTGTCTTTATATTTCTGAACATATAAATAAGATGGCAATAATTTCTTAAATAATTACCATGTACAGTAAAATACCTGCATCAACCATTATAAATATCTAATATTAGCGAACTATATCAATGTATTAGATGAATCTTCTACTGGTCACATAGAAAAAATGAGGTTGAAACTGCAAATTAAACATATGAAGGAATAATGAACAAGCTGAGAGAAAAGGAAAAAAACAAGTTAAGTGTGATTGAATCGACTTTCTGAACTCTTAAAAAAGATAGAGGGAACTTTAAAAAACCAAAAGGCAGGGTATAATTTGGAATATAAACATAGCAGAAAGAAGGACATTTGCAAGGATGAAAGGGTATGTATGAGGAGGTAGGTACCGTAAAGACATAACTAGATTTAGTTATATCTGTTCTCTTATCTATTGCCTTTAGTTTACTTTACGTGCTACTTCTTACTCAGTTCTGCAGTTTCCATAACACTGCTGATTCCGAAAAAGACTACAGGGACATCTATGTATGTATATAATCTGATCTCCATTTTGCAAAAGAGTTTAAAAACAGAATAATACCACAGAAGAAATATTATATACAAAATACATCATAAAATGTCCAATAATAATCTATATTAAATATAATTGGAACTGTAGCCTTTAGATTTTTGTAGTACAGTAATTATTTCTATATTTAGAATTAATTTTAAATAAAGTACCATACAAAAATTTGGACTAAAAGACATGTAATTGATATATTGAATTAGAATAAAACATGACAATGCAGAAATACTGAAGTTCAGCATTCTAAGGGCACAGTGATATGAAATTATTTAATTTGTAAGTAGTTATGGTAAATAAAGAAGGGACCCTCAGTGTATATAATTTGCATCCATTCAAATTCACGCAGGGCTTAATTTTAAATTAAAACACTTACTTGTAAAGATATTGATCCACTATCTTTGTTTTTAGTGAGGAAGTTGGAAATGGACAAATTTAAATCAATGCTGCTGTTGTCAGCTGTAGAACCAGTGCCTGAATCTGTATCATTTTCTTTAGCAGTCTCAGGATCAAGATATTTTGTATGTTCAATATTATTCTGCTTCCTTGATTTATCTTCTGTCTCATTTTCTACGCAGCTAACATTAATACTTGGTACTGGAGGTGCCTCATGTTCAAGAGGCTGTTTCACGGCACTATCTTCAAGATGATTTTTAATAGGTAGATCACTGGAAACCACCTCAGGATCTGTGCTTATTTGAAAATTATTCTTGTGGTTTTCTTCAGCTCTGACCTCTAATTTATCACCAGGTTGCACAACATAAACCTCATCTTTGGTGTCGATTTCTTCAGTTGTTTTTTCTTTTTCAGCATGTACAGCATCATCTAATCCTGGCTTCTGTTTCATGACCTCCATTTTTTTTGAAATGTTGGCCTCAGTTTCCTTTAAGGTGCTTTTCTGGTTAGAATCATCATGATCTCCCACTCTCTGTTGCTGATGAATATCCACATCATTCTGAATAAATGTTGGTTCAGAAGTAATTTGTCCCTGAGAATCCTCAGAAGTACACTCTGTTGGCTGTTTGGTGCTTTCAATCACTTTAACTGAATCTGTGGTTTGAACCTTGGTAGTAATATCTCCCTCTTGAGCACTACTGATACCTTCTTTTGTTGGTTTCTGCTGCTTATCACATGATTCTTCTATATCTGTCATTTCCTTAATATCATTTGCTTCATATTTCTGATTTTTAATTTCTTTCAGAACATCATCTACACATTTTTCATTTCCTTGTGATTCCTTAATTGCTTTACTTTTTTCTGTTGCCATTTCCTCCGCTGCTTTGTTTTCCTGGATGACTATGAAACTTTGCTTTTCTTCTTGTATATCAGTCTCATTAGAAATTGTTTCTCCAGTTTCTGCACTGCTGGCTTCAATTTCAAGACTGATTTTATTTCTGTTCTCAACTGATGATTCATTTGACAAATCATTTTCTTTTTCTGTTTTTAGATCAGGCTTGACATTTATTATAGATAATACTGTATTGATTTCCTTTTCTTCTTTCTGTGCTATAGTGTCTTTATTCAATATTACATTTTGATCAGCATTTTCACTTTTTTTTGCTTCTTCAACTTCATGTTGTAATGCCGATTCATTCTCTCCTTTTTCAAAATGGCTCTGCTTGGCATCACTTGTGTTTTCTGTGAATACTTCATCTTCATTTTTGCCAGGCTCCATACTTATCTTTCCTTTTTCAATTGTATTAGTACTTGTCTCTTCCATGGATGAATGCTCTAGTCTCTCCGAAACAGATTCCAGCATAGATGCATTCTGTGAAAGTTTATCCTCTTCTGAGCTGGCAATACTGAGGTCAGATGAGGCTCGCTTATTTGCAGGTAATTGCTGAAATGTATATTGAAATGATTAATAGTGATACATGTAATTACTTCAATTTTTAATATTATTGAATATTACCCTAATACTGAAGTTAAGATTATGTAGAACTTATAGTAGCAGTATAGAGAATTTATAGTAAAACAACTTCTCTGGATAGGCTTCTTCCCATGTGCACCTTGTGTAATCCAAATTTTCTTTGCATTTGGGAATCTATATGCATACCTGACAAAAAGATGTAATTTTTAAATGTGCAAGCTAAAAACTTATGCATTACAGCATCTGCCTTCAATGAGATGGGCGGCTATATAAAATTTAATAAACAAACAAACAAACAAACTGTACACTTCTGAATTTGGCAACCTTTCATATATATATATATATATATATATATATATATATATATATATATATATATATATATATATATATATATANTGAAAATAATAATTGTATTATATTTATGTTGTATAAATATTATAATCTATTTTAGTATGCAAGTTTACTTGTTAATAGAAATCCACTGTTTGACAAATGACAGCATATTATAAATTTGTCTAGGACCAGTTTGCTATTTAAATTACTTGTTACTTAGCATTTATAATAGAAAGCTGGACAATATTTTAGTTTAGATCAGGGGTGTCAAACTCAATTTCACTGAGGGCCGCATCAGTATTGTGGTTGCTCTGGGAGGGGGTGTGGCCAGAGTGGGTGCAGCCTACTGGGTGGGCGTGGATGAAATGGGTGTGGCCTACTGGGTGGGCATGGGCAGTTCTATATCATTTGCGTCAAGGGTGCCTGTGGGGGCCTGGGCAGGAGTGGCACAGATCTGAGGGTCTCTGACAGAAGAGGGTGGGACCGGGACAAGTGCCAAGGCATGGTCCACCGGGGCAAGTGTCAAGATGGCCACCACAAAATTGTACATTGGCTCCCGGCCGGCCTGGGCCAGGGCCAAGGCAGCGGGGGCCGTTCCCTCACTATTTCCAGGATGGCTTCGCGGGCCACATGAAACCACTTCATGGGCCACATCCGGCCGCCGGGCCTTGTGTTTGACATGTCTGGTTTAGATTATATTAACTGAAAGAGCAAATAAGTTTATATGACATATTTTTCTTAATATAACACTAATAAAAAAATCACATTAACAAAAAACAACATAATTTATAAACTTGGCTTGCAGTGCAAAGCTTCTTTCTTTTTAATGTACAAATTTTAAATTTCTCACTAGAGAATTTTCAGATTCCTCCTCTTCATCTTCATCTTTTCCATCCTCTACTTCTTCAGTGACTTCAGCCTTTGCTTCTGCAATCAGCTCTCTGATTGGTTTACTGGAAGTTACAGTAACAAATGGATGCTAGTAAAAAAAAGGCATACAGAATTTAATCAAAATTAAAAGGCTTTAAAATCCAAATTTGCATCAAAGTTTGATGCAAGAAAAGTAAAAACACAGGTTTCTATTAAAAGGCTTACAACTCATTTTTTCACTGAACACTTCTTTATAAAATTCTAAACAATATTTTTTTCTTTAAAAATAACATTTCTATTCTTCAGTAAGTTCTTATATTTGCAAGTCTAAATCTGTTTGGGAAGAAAGAAAGTCATAGGCTAATTCAATCTCACAATTATAAATGAGATCTATAAGCACTCCAGTTTCTTGAACAACATCCAGCACTACTTGATTAGCATTAGAAATCCTGTATTTGGATATATTTTCTCAAACCATTTCTTCTAAACAAAAATATTTCAAAATTATCCTTTACAAATTATCCTTGTAAATATGAAAACTAATCCTAGTGAAATCAAACATAAAAATAGATACCAAAATTAATAAACAATTCCCTCCTAGATTAACCTGTGTTAATTTCAGCTCAGCTTGAAAATGAATACAATTCTGTCCTTTTTCCATGATACCACTACGGGAGATAGGTTTGTCAGGTCCTATCTTGTTTTTCTCCAAATGGACATTTAATTAAAGTTTAAAGCAAAGTGCTATTTTTACATCTGACTATATCTATCAGTGCATTTAAAAATTCTTAATTGTTTTGGTTATTATTTAGCTGCAAAAGTAGAGTATAAATTACCAGGGCTTCAGATTTGTATTTCTATGGTGGATGCTATTACAACATTAATCATGTAAAGTCTCATTTTAGCATATTAATGTCTTCAATTGCTCCATTCAGTCCAAATTGCAAAAGCAAAACAAAAAAACCTCATTGGTATACGCTAGTCCCTTGACCTCCTGCAGAGGAATCTGGAGCTGTTCTTTTTAAAGAAACTAGAGAACAATTTCATTGTTTGCTGATTTGCTGCAGTGTACATAGCTCTGTAATCAGTAGAAATTAACCAGCAGCCCAGAGACCTTTACATGAATAAATAACTCATTATGACTGAGCATGCTGTACAGTATATCTGAATTCTATATGATTGGAAAACAGAAGTCCAAAGAATAAAATATTTCATTCTTCATACCTGCAGAAGTTCAGCAATGTTCCATCTGGCATCTACATTCTTTTCCAAACATTTCTTTAAGAAATCCTTAAAATCAGCAGACCTGCACAGAAGCAATTAAATTGGTAAGTTATAAAGATAAAATTTATAATTATGACTTAATTAGAACGGTCCAAATAAAATGCAAAATAATTGATAATATTTCCATTCATATATAACAGGCAGTTTTCTTTTATTACAGTAGTTTAGAATATAGGCTTAAGATGCCTTTGGGAAAAATTACTGTCAATTTTGGAGCAAGTACTTCTTTTTGTCAGTTTATTTTAATGCTGATAATAAATAAAAAGAGAAAAATAACCATTTTGATGGTTGTGCCAACGAAGGTGGTTCCGACTTCGCTATTTTCAGCAACACACGCATTGGATTTAATTCATGATGAGGTGGTTCTATTTCAGCCATTTCTATTAAAGTGACACCTAAAGACCAAACATCAGCTTTATAATCATAAGGTCTGTCTTTAGATGTCTCACACATAACCACTTCAGGAGCCATCCTACAGTAAGGGAAAAAAAATCACATTGTTAGCAATAAATGTCTAAGACCTGAGCTAATTCAAGAGCCAAGGAACGTAAGATCAATATTGTTTGTATTATTGTAGTTGAAGAAAGTTGTCACTGTTATTATTTTATATAGCTCTAAAAATATACAATGTTTTATGTAAGAAAAGGTTATCCTCAAAAGAGTATAAAATAGCTTACCAATATGGAGTACCAATGAAAGAATCTCGTCTCTGGATTGTCCGTGTATTTTTAGCAGATACTCCAAAGTCCGCTTCAACAAATAAAAAATATTGATTTAGAATCACACATTGCAATTTGCATTTATGTTTCAATGCTACTTGCTTTGCTTCCTACAAAGGAGAAAACATTGTTTCATTCTTAGCAATCTCCCGATTCCATTTTAATTTTTCCATTTTGCTCCAAGATATATATTCTTGGAACAATTACTTTCATGCATTTAACATTTTTTAAAAATTATATCAATATCTCATGAGTAAAAGTTACTCTCAAGACATATTTTTACTTACTAATTGGTATAAATTAAAAAAATAAAGAGACAAATGACATGTATATCCTTTATGTTGATTTAGTGTGAGATTCAGTGTAACTTGTCAAAAGTCTAATGGTAACTAAGTCTTATGGTAAGTAAGCAGATCAACTTTTATTGCTGTCTTCGACTGATACATAGATATATACACATGCGCACAAAAATATATTAAATGTACATTACAATGCTAATTAAAAGAGATTAAATGAGTAAAAGAGAAAGAAGAGAAAGGAAAAGAATGCTAAAAGATATCAAATAAATACAGTTTTATTAGACAATATTTTTGCCTCAATTTCCAAGGCTGAGGCTGCCTCTAAAGAGCAATGCTATCAAAGCATAAAAACAGCAAATCATCAAGCCTGTATCTATAACTGCAAGACATTACAATAAAAAACAAATATAAGTATGATACGTTTGCCCATGTTTTTTGATAGAATTTCATATGTATGTATGGCAGGAAAGCAATTTCCAGTAGGATGACCAATTTCAGGATTTAAATGGTATCTGAGAAACAACCAAGAGAGTATTACATCCACATGGCACACAAACCAACCAAAGCCCTTCAAAACATCTTAAGTAAATGAAAATAATTAAAGAATTAAAGCCCAAGAATTAAAAACAGGAGTCATCTACAACATACAGGGTAAGGACTGTTACAACCACTGTGTAGGACAAGTATGCAGAAAATTAGCAGAGTACATGCATGAGCACCAACTAGCTGTCAAACAACATGAGAAAATTCCTTAATTTTTAAAGGTTTAAAGATTTCTACTAAAGAATATAAACTTAAAGCTTTTGCTGATGACTTAGTTTTTACATTGACTCAACCAATTGAATCACTGGAATTTTTGCTACAAGAGCTGTACCAGTATGGTAAAGTGGCTGGATTTAAAATCAACGTGAATAAGACTAAAATTCTTACTAAGAATATGATTGCTAGAGATAAAGATCAACTTATGCAAATGTCAGGATTTGAAGTGGTCAATAAAGTCAAATATTTGGGAATTTTTTTGTCATCCTCCAATGCGAAATTGTACCAGAATAATTATGAAAGATTGTGGAA